AAAGATCCCCCGTATGGCCTCAACAGACTCTTGGGGCAAGCGCGATTAGCGAACACTGATGAAGGCCGGCATGGCACACGAAGGGGTGGGTGGGCAGCACCACACCCGGCTGCCTTTGTTTTCTTCACGGCGATGTTTACACATCGCACCAGGTACTCTTTGAGGCCGAGTCGACCGAGGGGAAGCCCAGGGCTAGTTCAGATAATCATCACTGGTGTTGACCGTTTGTAACAGAGCACGCTAACCACTGTGCTACCTCTCCCCTGCACGCACACACGCACATGTATTGGGATGGTTCATGTGTTTCACATCATCCCTAAGTATTCCACTGCATACGTACACACTTGGGTTTCGTGGGAGTGAGAGAGAGACTGTTCGTGACAGCACAGTACTTGCTCAAACTCATTCACCAGTTGACAGCCATGCTATCTGGGGATGCGGCCGCAGCACTAAAGTGAAACTGGGTGGAATTTGGTAATGGGAGGTAGTGGTGGGGTTAGTACAGGCAGGTTGGCCCCCATGTTTATGGCCCTGAATGTGCGAGTGTTAGGGGAAGGGGAACATGTGGGGAGCGGTAGTAGTGTCGCAGTTAGTGGCCCGCGCTACGAATCCGGCGACCCAAGTTCGATTCCCGCTCATGGCCAACACCAGTGTGGGCCTCCTCTAGGTCGACTCGGCCTTAAAATGAGTACCTGGTACGGTGGGGAGACAAAGGCGGCCGGGCGTGGTGTTGTCTACCCACCCCCTCGTGTGCCGTGTCGGCCTTCATAGGTGCTACTCGCTAACAGCACTTGCCCCGACAGTCTGTTAAGGCTATACAGGGGATTTTTGTCTTTGTTCGGGGAAGGGGAGTATAGGGCAGGGAGGAGAGCTGAGCAGGTTGGTGTTGCCGTACGTGGGTTGGCTGGTGAGAACGTGAACATTTTAGTTTTTGAAATCGAAGCCGACACTGGGGTATTGGAAGGAATGCTCAACTCCATCACACAGCAGATCCCCATTCCCCCTGCGGGGCTCCTCCTGAAACGTAGAAGACATTAAATGTTTAAATTAAAAAGGATTACACGAAATTCTTTGTCTTCTGTTTGACCCTTTTGTATTATTTCTCTAATGTGGCAGTGTGCAATTTATAGTCCGGCCAGATAACTTCACGTCACGGCTACCAAACACAGCTGTATAAGTACATTTTGGGTAGTGGCTCTTTATCAGAACAGTCTGTCACAATCACGAGTGCACTGCACACTCTAGAGTATTCTCCCGTCTATAATTAAAACGCAACGCTTAGAATTAATGACGTTTTTTTTGTTATCACAATCTTTAACACCGGTGCCTTGCAGCTCCTAGGGATTTATACAAATTAAATGTTGTGTTTGATATGGGTTCTCTCACTTGTATTTATATCAGGTTCTGACGTGCCAAGGTGTCTGCATCATAAATATAACGATATCCAATATAGCTCAGTCGTTGATAAAAAAAAACAATTGCATGTTAAATCGTATTTATGGCTGTGTTCTAATGCCTTATGTTTCATCGATACCATTGTACTTATTTTATATTCAATGAGCATTCACGGTAAAATTTCGCAAGGTCGAATTAAAAACACATTGTTTACCAATTTTAATTCAGTTGTAAGCCTTATGTGCTTAAGTTAGGCTTGTAATTCCTGCATTGTCTTTTCTCAACCACGTTTAGTTGCGTATCACATTCGGCCTACTTTTCTTTCTGCGCACTACTTAAGCCCACTTTGTAAATGACACCCACATCCTTTACTGAATGCATTTTACAGTTTGTGCACATTACGTATGGGTACTTTGTGTGGTGTGCGTGCGGCGGTTAAAATGCGCCGCTTGTTGCCCCCAAGCTCTCCGCAGTCTCTCCACAGTGTGGGGCTTGATGCGATGGCTTTGTCTGAAAGTGGCAATAATGAGTGGTTCCTGCAACAGCCGTCGTGCGTCTCGGCGTTCAGCTGAGCGCTGCCGGCATAGATGTTGTCGTACCTGCCTGTTTTTTTATCGACACACACACACGCGCATGCCTCCTTGAGTGTGCACGTGTACACCTTGAGTCGACATTGGCCCGTGTGGCATGCCAGCGTTTTGAGTCTTTGTGCGTGCACGCAGCCTGTAGCTCCGCTCCTGGATCGAAGCGCAGAACTCAGGAATGGAAAAATGTGCGTGCAGATGTGCTTTTACGAGAGCGGTGAGTTCACCGACGCGGTGGCTGTGAGCCAGTTGCACGGAGCTCGTGGTCTCACTGCTCGGTTGCTGATAGAGACTCTTAAAAAATATATATAATAGCGATCATTATTGATCTTTATTTGTTTTTGGGTTAGGCCACGTGGTAGTTTTATGCAAGGATTCTCGTAATTAACCCCTCCACCATTTGACACGCTTGTCACGTTTACATAGATGTTATTTATATGTGGCAATATATTGATCAAATTCCTATCAATAATGCTTTTCACCGGTGGCTTAAGCCTTGGCACGACTGAACTTAGCAGCAACATATTACAAAGTTTCTCTCAAACTGATTTGAGCTTCATCAGGTAGCGAACTTATGATGAAATGAGATAATTTGATCGACACATTGGCATTTAGAATAATATATTCGTAAATGTGACAATCTTGTCGGGGAGGAGGGTTAATGACAAGTGTTATGACATCAAACTACCACATGGCCTTACCGAAAAACACAAATGGCATCGTTGTATTGGGTAACCTACACTTTAACTTAGTGTTCAGTTTTCTTCATTTAAGTCGGTTCTGAATGTGAAAAATGTACAGGGAATTCTCTTCACATTTGATTATTTCACGTGAAGAAAATGGAATCTCAACTGAGTAAAATATTCTCTTTGTTGCATTTGAACGTTCTCATCGTTCATAGCCCATTTGTGTTGTGGAACTAGTGAGCCACAGAGGAAATGGATTCATCCAATCGCGGCACTCGTTCTAGAAGGGAGAGCGTGGCGTCGCAGAGAGTTGCCCCTGAAGGAGCAATATAAGGGCACCTCTCTTGTATTCTCACTCGGCCTCTTATCACAACCGATCAGTGGTGATCACACCGCTGTGTAGGTTGAGTGGTTCACTCATCGTCGACAAATGGGAACCATATTACGCATTTTAATATGAGCTGTAACAATCCCTGCCCTACACACCCACACACCCACCCCCAATAGTGATTCAATTAACTGTTGTGATTCAGGGTTAACTTGAAAAAAATCTAATTGTCCTACATTGTGGGGAATGTAGTGGGTGGCCTCTAGCGGCTGGAGAGGTCAACGTGAACCCATTGCGCACAAATCGCTGTTGAAAAAAACCCCATCGATTCTTACACGTAATTTGACGTGGGTATCACGGGTCAGAATAATCAATATTAATTGATTAATCAATGCATCATTACACCCGTACCATTAATAAGCATTGTTTCTCAATCTATATTCAATCCTTAGAGCCGACACAAATCAAATAAATTGCTGGAACAGGCTGAGCCCGTTAAACTTGACGTTTGTAAAAATACCAAACAACGCCAGGTCCTCAAGATCGACGTAGAGGCCGGCACGAGTGGTTGATTTTGGGACCAGAGACGAAGAAGGGATGTCATCGTGTTCTATTTTAAACACAATTCTCCTACAGCCGATTTGGGAACCGCGAACCAAAATCACCACTTGCTCCTAGTGGACCCAGTGACTGTAAAGCTTTGTGATGGGGGGGGATGAACAAAGAAATTAACTGCCGTCGGTCTGCGAATGAAATTGTTTGCCAAGGTACTAGCTTCACTTTGTGTGTCTTTGTGCCTGTTTGTGTGTGTGCATTTGCACGCATGCCTGAATACAATGCTTTCTTGAGCGTGTATCTGGTTTTCGGTGGCAGTGTGAATTTATTCGAAGTTTGGTATGCACAACTCTGACAGTGTTATAAGCCATCTTTAGAACATTACTCAACACTTGGTTTGCGCTGATATTTGAAATACTGTGTGCCTGGAACTTTTTTAATAGGGTGCGGCAAATGTTACAGAACTCGTAATCAGTTGGCTCGGGGGCAGGGGGGCTGATACCACATCAAAGCACTGAGTTGGCACTGCCAAGGTCCTGTGTTTGAATCCGTGCAGCCAACTGTGATTAAACCAGGTTCTCACAAGTGTGTAGTGAGCCTCGTCTCAAGCGAAAGAGCACAACAACTCATCAAGTAGAATGTTATTTTGAACTTTACTTGACTTTTTTCAGATAAAAAAAAGTAATATTTTCATCTGACGGACACTTTGCAGGGCATACAATCGGTATTCCTTTGTGTAAAAAAAGAGGCTGATTTAATAATTTTCAGAAGCAGTCGTACGATGTGTTTTTACGTGGCCATTTTCTGACACAAGCTGATGCACTGCTTGCTGCGAAATTTCCATAAGAAGATTTATTAATGTTAGGGCACGATGCTGACAATACGATTGTAATTTCATTGTGAGATGCCCCCACACCTCAGCGTGTGTGTCAGTGAGAAAGTGCTCTGCTTATGAGCCAAGGCTTTGTATGCTCCTTTGGACACACACAGCCTAAATGGGCAGCATTTGGCCCTGAAAGATGCAGACAACCGGTTGTAGAAATACACACCCACGCAACACTTCTCACCTCTCACCATAGGTTGATGACAAAACTTACATTTTTGTTTGCACACTCCACCACAGTTCCAGCCACCACAATGCCATTGTTACATTCCCGATGTCGCCCACCCTTACACCCAATTGTTTGCTACGCTTGACATGGAGGAGCTCTTGTGGGGCAACCCGATACGAAAATTAATCCCTCGGTGATTGAAAACAGCGTAGGGGGAGGGCAGAGGTGGTCATCAATATAATGTCGCAAGACCTACCACTACCACCACCACCACACCCTGTGCTCGCTCGCTTATTGCAACGTCGTTATCAGGTGACTTGACGCATTGACATCTTTGCCCCCTCCCCCCCCCTTTTGTGCACGTGCGCGCGATTGTGTTTGCGCGCGTCAACACCGACAGCTGTCCGGCGGCTGCGAGCTCACGGTGGCGATAGCCGACCACGTGGCGGCGGCGGCAGGCGAGCTGAACGTGCGGCGAGGCCAGACGGTGGAGGTGCTGGAGCGTGCGGCGGAGCGGCCCGACTGGTGCCTGGTGCGCACCACGGACCGCACGCCGGCGGCCGAGGGCCTGGTGCCGTGCAGCACCCTGTGCATCGCTCACTCGCGCAGCAGCGTGGAGATGGAGGGCTTCTTCAACCACCGCGGTGAGAGCGAGCGGGCGCACGCACGCACGCACGCACGCACGCGGGGATCCCTCCCACGAGAGCCCGGAGTGCAGGTGGATGGGATTCGCTTGTCGAGGTCCGATGTTGGAACTGAATGACTCTAATCGGGGGGATTATATGTAGGCGGCAGTGGGTTTTCGAAGTGCACGCCACTGTCGCATGGACAGAGATTTTCAAATCCCATTCCTTGCTGTGGCTATTACATGTCATCGATTTTGAAGCTGTACATTGAATACCTTTGCAGATGAATACAATATTTAATTGGTGAGGGGGAGAGAGCAGTGGCACAGTACATTTCTCAATAGCCCAGTTTCTCTTTTTTACTTTGCCATTCATCAAATAAGCACAGTGTATTATCTGTAAATTAGATATATGAATTTGAGAACCATGACATCAGAGAGGTGGATGTTGGAATTTCTATCGACTGCTGTTTGAGAACGTATTGCTAAGAAGGCGGACGGCTAAAGCCAGACTCCTTTTTTTTTGACGTTCAGTTTGCTCCAGAGATGAAGCGCAGGCCCCGCTGGCCCATAAGCAACGGCCGGCTCCCCAAGGAGTTAAAAGATTGCCAGGCTGTACCCCTGCATAGATAATTTAACACGGTGTGGGGGGGGGGGTGGAAGGACTTTGTGCGTAGTTATTGGAAGAAGACTTGGTGCAAAGGAGCACTCAATTCTCAATTAGCGCAGCCACGTTCTTCAGCATTCTTTGGCCAACGCCGGCAGTATCTGAGGAGAATAAACTAACTGTATTCTGACATGCAACAGGTCCACATGGCACTTGAGGCTTTGTGTTAAGATTGTGTTTTTTTACAGGAATGGGGCTGCATATACACAAACCTTGTTTGAAGGCTGGAAAAAGCCACCACCAGGATTGATTTTCATACCAAAAAATCCCAACAGAAACGTTCTCTGTTTTCTCTCCATCGCCTCTCTCTCCAGCATTACCACCCGAACACGTTTGACTGTTTTCCCACCTCATTCATTCGGGCACTCCCTCTCCCCTCCCTCGCATGGAGTTTTCTCGAAACTTTGTACCATTTAACATTTGCCGATTTCGACCCACACCCACGTAAACGACCACCCCAAACGACGCCCTTGTTCACATGCCAATTCCTATTGCACCCATCGTGTGGGACCTGTTTGGCTACACCAGTAGCCGAACCGCCACGTCTTGCCCAAGGTCTGTGCACCAGGGTGAGAACCCTGAAGCAACGTCATGTACCCAAAGACTTCCAACCGGGCCTATAGCAACGTCATGTACCCAAAGACTTCCAACCGGGCCTATAGCAACGTCATGTACCCAAAGACTTCCAACCGGGCCTATTTGCAGCCACCTCACTGTGTATATGATGGTAGGCGTTTTAATGAAGCACTGGTTTTTATACGCTGACATCAATGTTTACACTGAAGATATATGCTTTAAATTGTGGTTTGTGTATGAATCGGTTATTTATGATTCGTGCAGATTACATGCTGCGTCACATTTAGGCTAATAGAGTAAAATAGGCCAGTACAGATAAGGGGACAAACACAAACCAGACGAGATGGAATAGAAGACAAAAATAATCAACTCCTGCATCAAATTGTGATTACCAATCGTGACAATTCCTTGACTTTGCGGGAAGCGCGAGTCTTTAAAATGTGTTTAGTGTTGGTAGATGTGTACATTTAATAGCTGCGCAAAACTTATTCTTAAATACAGGAAAGTCTCAATTTGCGTAGAGGATCTTGCTGCTTGGTAAATTCACCGTCCGCAATTGTACATTTCTCTGCACATGGGACAAAACCGGTTTGCCCGGAGAAAATCCATTATATAGGAGAGGACAAACACTCGGACTTTGGGTGGAAAAAACCGACTTGACATACTGACTTCCAGAGACACAAGGTCATATGCCACCAGGCCCCATGTCTGCACAATCCATCAACCCTGCCTCCAAAAGTTGTTGAGTAAGAGGTGTGCACCTCCACATACTTGTGCCCCAATGTGCAGTGGACGCCTTCTGTCCCAGGTTTTGAGTCGTTTACTATGTTACGCCCTGCGCCCACGCGTGGCGGGGGTGTGGTCTGATTTTCAGCGTGGGGGTGAAACAAAACATTCCCGTGCTTTTCGCACTTGTATCGGGAAAACACTTGTGGGTCAGCGTGACCACCGTGCAGCTCCAGAGCAGCTCTAGACTGTTGAAGATAAGCGTAGCATTGTTGGCCCGAAGGAGGGAATGGCGGGTGGGTGTGGAGGAGGGGGGGGGTAGAACGTGAGGGCCCACAGGGTGAACGGGGGTGGGGGGGGAGGGTCGCGTTTCCCCATCTGGCTGCGAGGACCGTGCCCCGTGACGACGACGGTGTGTGAGCGGCGGCGACGGCGGCGGCGGAGGCCCCTTATCCACTACCGCCCCGATTGCCTTGGCTCCTCGTGAGGCACTTGTTGCCGCACAAGGGCGAGTTTTGGCAGAAAGCGGTGTGACCGTTTAAATCATAGTTGAGCGCCAATTTCGTACAGTCCTTGGGGAGGGGAAGGGTATTGCTCTGTGAAGCATATTTTTGATCGTAAAATTGGGTCCATGGATGAACAAAAACGCAAGTGAAATCTGTTGTGAATAATATGAGTACATTTTACACACTCCTATTTATTTGTTAATGGTGTAGAAATGTAAAGCTGTTTTTTTTTCTGTGTGTTAGAAAGTATATATTTGTCATTCGGAGCACAACCAGTTGCCTCAGAACATTTCAGCTCCGTCTTTATGAGAACGTTTTTTTTATTAAATGTGCGTACAGTGCACATGGAAACCAAACCGACATATTTCTACGAAGTGACAAATGTTACGTCGACACGTCATTAATTATGAACCGTGAGTTCATGAATACGTAACACACTAGTTCACCAGGCGCGTTCACACCGCTTCATCCAGTACACAACTGGCTCATGTGTTGAAATTTGCTTTGCGTAAAAAAAATCACCTGATGACTGTACAGCACTCGCCGTTGTAAAAGTATTCTCATGACGGCACGCCAAGCGCTCTGATCACCCAAAATCGCTGGCTCGCCGCAGTAACCAAAGAGCACTGAGAAAATTCACCGTTACATTTTCACGTTTGGCTTCTTTCATGCATTCGCATACCAAAGAAACAAAGGTTTTTCATTTGGCCAAACAGGCTCTTGGGGCAAGCGCTGTTTGGCGAGCAATTTGTTGAGTCTGAGAGAATTTATTCGTTTGCTGTGGCCATCACACAATGCCTGACCACCGTCGTTTGCCCGGTCATGATGATGAGGTGTCGTCGTGATAGCTGCACATTTTTTTGCAAAGCCGACATGTGTGGTAGGTCCAGGTCAAGTTCAGATAATGTTTGCCCTGGCGTGTTCAGACACAGATTGTCAGCAGGATTGCGAAGCAAATTGTAAACTACTGATGCCAACAATATGCATACGAAAAACACGTGTGTATCCACCTAAATACTCGCACATGCATATTGATTTAAATGATGGCTTTTTAAAGTGAACCAACCCATTTACAGCCCATTTCAAGCTTAATTCTGGGACACATGAGTGTAACTAATTATTAAGTCAGTGTAGCACTTTACCACCTATTATTCTGTGCTATCTACATTGTCTCTAATGCAGACAAGAGTGACATTTCAAACAAATGTGCAGATTGTGTCGTATGCAAACATCGAACCGTTTTAAGTACATGACTCACGTGGTGTGTGTATCAGATCTCGGCCATCAAGCACTGGCAGTGACAGCTGTGTTGCAACCGGTGCTCTGACTTGAAAATCGATCAGACCAACAGCAGCCTCGATGCTTAATATTTGAACAGTCCTTGTGAACGGTGACCAGGTTTGTGTACCATAGCTTAACCGTGAGCCAAATCCGTAGACATGTTTAAACAATCATGGAGTCATCCTGCTTTATTATGTTGTTTTTCAATATGGATTTACAAAGTTTCTCTTTCGTATGATTGTATAGCGAGAATGTCTGCAACAATGGAGATGGTCTGGAAGGGACGTGATCATGAGGACAAAGGGTGACCAGAACATTTTACAGATTATTCAGAATTTTTTAAGTTTGGGTTATAGATTGATAATACATACTACGGTGCAGGAAAGCAGAGAATGGCATGTAAGATAGAGATACAACTCAGGATAATATGGAAAATTTACTAAGAGTATTTCCAAGATTTTTTAATTGTTCCATGAAATGTAATTTTTGACCATATAGGAGCCATTTTTGCAAGTGTGGCCTTATAATGGTCATCTTGATCTGATGGACGTGTCAACGAGACAGTTCTAATTTATGTATTATTAATGGAATGGTTTTTAATTGATGAATTCTTGAACAGTATTTTAAATATATGGCCTTAGTAATGATTTTATTAGGATTGATGGCTTCAGTAATGGCATGTCTTGGGTTGCTTAAATAAATAATATATTTTTCATTAACCAGGGCACAAGACACATCTCGCTATCAGTAACGCTGCCTTAAATAGTAATAGTAATAAAAAAAAAGACTTTTACTTGCAACGCTCCGCACAGCGTTCGCTGGCTTTAGAAGAGAGTGGGAGATGGACTCGGAGGCAAGGAAGGAAGGCAGCAACCATTCGGCGAGCTGGTGCCAAATTCCCCCACAACTTCCTGCGCTCCTCTGCGTGTGTATGTGCGTTGAACTTCTTTCGCACCGTGCGTAACCAACCGTGCTTATCGTAGGTGCGGCGGAAGGGACAAGGAACTAAACGGGAAAAACGCAGTTCTATGGAGGAATGAGTTTTCAATCCCTTTGATTTAAAAGTGCACAGCGTCAGTGGCTTCCTCATTGAGGAAGGAAGAGAGTTGTGGACGGCCGCAGAAGCGCACCTGAAAGCGCGCGATGCGGTGCCCGTCTTTGTTTGATGGCCAGCCAACAGCCGCTGGCAGGATGACCAGAGTTCGCGTGATGGTTTATGCCCCTTGACGATGATATCGGCCAATTGTCGAGTGCTCACATGTG